TGTTTGCATTCCTGTTCCATCATATCCACTGCCTGTGCCACACTCTCTGTGCTGTAACACGGGTCAAATGCACTCCGTATCCGCTTGTGAGCCTCACCACTTGCCGTCCCGGCTGCGTGACCAAACAGCTGGCGAAACACACTTCCCAATCTGAAGTCCTTTAAACGCTCATACTTATGCTGTTTTGCCATGAATTTCACAGCGATTTGTGGATCTGTAATGATTCTGTAGGCAAGAGAAAAAAATTAACACATATTTGGATCTAACGAAGTCGATACTTTCATTCAAAAGCAAAAACAAACAAACAAACAGAACAGTTGTGACAATTAAGCAACTGAAACCCCAGTCACGCTTACAATATCACGCAACGATGTTGCCATTGCAGTTAAGCAAGTACACTTACATTTTAGCCAAAACGCTCGCCAAAAAACAATATGTCTATATTGGAGACTATTTAGACGGCATGTAAATTAGTGAAGGCCAGTCAAAATTTGCCCCTACAGCCCTGAAAACTACATCGTGCTGAAAAGACAAAGAGTGCGTCACGCTACGTGACAATCCCGAAAACGAAAATATTTTAAATGTATAAAGAGAATTAAGTTTTAGGCAGTTTGATGAAATGTTAAAAATCAAAACAAAAATATCTAAGTTGAAAATATTAGTAACAATACTTACAGTTTTGGAGGCCCGGGTAAAAATCGGAGCAAGTACATTCCCAATTTCTTCAAGCCTTCATCTTTGAATGCTATGAGTGTTGGTGAAAAGGTCCTGAAGCCAGTTCCTGCGATAATTTCCCCAGAATCATTTTGCCAGAAGTAATTCTATAACATAAGCGATCACGCGAGATGTTAAGATCAGTGACCATTATTTTTTTGTTTTGTTTTCTCTTTTGCAAAAATGAAACTGGATGAGAGTCCGAAGTAATGAAAACGAAACAGACCGAAACAGGAAGTTGACGAAACCTGTTCCTTCGCTCCTGTCCAAGAAAACCTGTCTATGAAACAGCCACAGACTGATTTCAAGGAATTTCCCTCCTTTGTCTCTACATTCCAAACCTTAAGTTGTTCACTCAGTTTATAGCCTGAGCAATCTTGCAGGCTATACAATTTACGGCGAAGAAAGCTTCAGTGACTGTTAACACGTTATTGTTGCGTGACGGCCATGTCTTGAAATTTCGCAGGAAAAGACAAAACTACATGCTCTACCCAATACTTCTTTTTCTAAGTCCTGGCTTCGTTTTTTTTTTCCCCCTTTTTTTAACGTGCATTTTACTCAACGGATTACTGGAGGAAAAGCAAACTGAACGCCAGAGGTTTAGAGAATGTTTGCGATCATCATAAAGTTAATAGAAGGACATATGAGATATTGGTAAACATGATTCATACATAAAATTTTAAAACTTACACACACAAAAAAAACCTGTACATGCGCTAGGCCCGCTTGAGGGTGCATTAGCAATCAACCGAGGGTGAAAACGGAGTGTAAGACGGCTCGCGCGCTTCGCGCGAGAATCGCACGCCGTCGGCCTCGCGCTCTGAAAAACCGTTTTTGTGAGAAAAAAATCTTACCTCCATAAATCTTTTGTAAATCCACGATATCAAAATCACTACGACAGTAAGGGCAGTGATAGAAAGGCCGAGCATCATCTTGAAATTTCAACACGATTGTAAAGCGATGAAACGAACTCTTCGCAAACTGACAGCCACTGAATTCTTACGAAATGTCACACAAGTTTATCACTTTTTCAGTTCCGATCTGGGACTTCCTAGAGGTCACATGCAGACTGAAACAAATGCGTAATTAATATATCTTGGCATGTAATAGCGGCATGTAACCGTCTGCAACGACTATTTCGGTCCAAAGGGAAATTACCGATCCATTTAAATTGACGTGTGCGAGTCTCATGACTCTTACTTTAAAATCGAATTTTGTTAGTGACGCTCTTTAGAGATTTTATTCCTTCACGTGGACTCCCGCCGTACACTTACGTCAACAAAGCTAAATTTAATCCTTCGTTAATTTCTCCACCTTTTTCGATTTTCCCTGCTAACTGATATGAGTGTATGCAGGAGTGGGTTCGGAGAAAAAGCAAGTTTTAAACGATGACAGCAAGGTTCAGAGCAGAACATTGTATAAAGAACAATAATGTACGGTCCATGTGGAAACGAGCTTATGAAGTACTAGGATATTCTAAATCGCACTGAAACGTAATTCAGTCTTCACAGAAATGAGCGGAAATGCCTAACTAAACTAAATGTTAAGCTCTGGGGATTCGACAAAGTTTTATGTGGGGTGGCTGCGTCTGCCCGAAATATTTGAAGTAAAGACCTTTCTAAATACCTAAATCACACATCAGTCCCTACCTTTTCATATACTTTACACTTGTTAAATCCCTACCCTTTTAAACACCTAAAGCCTGATAAAAGTTACCCCTTTCGGGTGGAGCTCCTCCGTAGAGGCCATTTTAGAGAATACTCCTCCCCCCATGATATCAAATTTTGAAGCCAAAAAGGCAGATATCTTTGCATTTCCATATTTTAGTCCACTTTACCTTATAAGGAAATCAAAGGAATACACGTTCCTTTTCTTTGTAAATCATGACTTTCGTGCACTTTCAACTTTCAAATTCACAACCGGTATTTCTGGGAAATGAGCCGCGTAACTTCGACGCTAAATTTAGAACATGTCACGAGCCATTTTATTCCGGGGAATTCGACTCAGCGATCGTTCCAGCGAATAAAACCATGATTGGCTAATTGTTAATTGCGAGGGACGCATAAAAGCTGCAATGTTTTCCTTGTGCTGCATGTTAAGCTGACTGTGAGCTCGAAATCCACTTACTTCATTTCTTTCTTCCAAAGAAATAGCCCCTCATAAAATGGTGCTTAACCTTGTTCAGCTTGAAGAAAGCCTCGTTTTTCAAACAGGCCAAGATGTGATGGCGGGCAACGGTGTAGTATTGTTTGGAATGAGCCCTGGAAATCCATATTTTAAATCTCATGTTATTGAGGACTATGTGCAATACTTGGGGAAGGAAGAAAGACGAATCATTGTTGTTGTACCACAGCAGCCAGCTGAACATACGTACAGAGCTCTGGGAAGTAAAGATGCTGTGAAACGAGCCAAGAAAAACTCCAGTCAGCTCAAGTCGCACTGCAGAAGAGCTATTGATAGGGTATGTACAGAAAACATTATAATACTGTCACTGATTAATTCTTGATACTTTAAGAAAGCTTCAAAAAGTACGGTTAAATATCCACCACAACATTTGTGTCTTTCTTTATTTTTCTATAAAACTGACGCGCACTCGCTCTCTTTCACAAGCTGGATGCAAGCTAAAATTGCAGTTATTAATTGTTTTTTCATGCCCCTCTCCTCGCTGTCGGGGTGACGTTTTTTAGTGAAAACCGGACTTGCATGCACTATTGTTGACATTCACCAATTGTGCGCATGCGTGAGTGACGTCACAGATATGTTTTTTCTCACTTGAAAACCGTAATAACCAATGAGGCTAATGCACAGTTCCGCTTTCCCAATTTTGGTCAATCTTGTGTGTATATACGTACATGTGTGCTTTTATGTAGAGACGCGCTAAATTTCACAGAAAACTGACAGAAATCTAACGGAGTATTTCTCGGAAAAAGTGATGGGTTTTTTAGGGGGGGGGGGG